CTAGGAGCAGCCCAGCAGTGGTAGTAGGAGCTTCTCGCACAATAATGAGACCTGCTTCTTGGTCTCGTGGCCTGAGCTGTGCTCCTTACCACGCTGCTTCTGGTGGCGAGCTAGTGCAGCATGTCTGCAACATGGGAGCAGTAGGCAAGTTAGCAGGGAGCAGCCTGGTGCAGCTCACCCTTGCTGTCTCCGAGCCATCGGCTACTATCTTCAACAGCAGAGGATGGGGAAGGGGATAGGACCAGGTAGCTAGATAAAAGGGGGAAAGGACACAAGACGGGAATGACAGAGCAGAGAGCAAAAACAGGCTTGTCCAAAGGTGCAGGAACAAATTATTAAATCATTTATAAGTACTGAAAGGACAAGCAACAGCCGCGACAAGAACAAACCGTGTCAATCCGATTTCCTCCTTTGATGGGATCTCTTATCTGGTGAAGAAGCAGAAGGCAGCAGATGCAGTATCTCAACTGCCATGAGGCCCTCGACACCCTCACGTGACAGCCTCACAAGCGAGTTAGGGAAACCCGGTCTTGAGAAACCCACCAGAGCACAGGTGAACAAGTGGCTGAAACCGTAGTCAAAGAGCAGTGATCTGTGGTTTGCTGCCGGGCTGCAACCCAGCGGGAGCTGGCAGCCCGTGCTAGCTCTACCAATATTTTCAGTAATGATTTAGGTGATGGAATACCAAAAATGAGGTTATAAACCCTGTGGGTGGGCAGAGGATAGGCACGCTGAAGAACAGGATCTGAATTAGACATGGTCTCAGGGAACTGGAAAATAAGCAAGCTGGAATTCAGTCCAGACAGCATTTTAGGAAGAAGAAATCAAACACGCTCATTTTGTGCAGATTGGGCTGGGCAAGGAATTTCTCTAAGTGACTCTGCATAAGTAATTTAGGAAAAAAAAATCAGGGGACATTGTGGGGGTGCTAGGATTTTGAAAAAAGAGAGGGAAATGATAATGAGCCATGAGGTTGATTGCCCCTCTCACTGCCTGAATAGAAATGCTGCTGCCTCTCCCAAGGAGTTTTAAAGTTTGGATCAAGCAGATACCAAAGAGGGTGTAATGGCACCACTACAACTGCTCTCCCCCCAGATCTGCTCCTGTCAGGGGGGTACGGTGGGCTCCATGCTGCAGAGGAGCGAGCAGGGTGATGCTGTTGTGAAAACAGGCAAACGTCATTCTGAGACACATTAACAGAAGTGGCCTACGTCGGACATAGAGGTAGCTGTTCTGCCTGCTCAGCATGGAGCAGGTCTCAGCTAGGACTCTCTGTCTAGGCCTGGGCACCTGCTTCAAGAAACAGTATGGACTAAGTGAAGTCAATGCAGGGGGAAGCTACAGTCACCAGGATTTGCATTTAAATGAGATTTATGTTAAGTCTGGTGCTTAGTATCATTTGTAATAAGTCTACTTAAAATGAAATGGGAATTTAATACAGAACAGGGTTAGGTGTAACCTTATGATAATGTTTTCAAAATATATATATATATATATTTTTTTAATGTTGAATGCATAAGCCTCTGAATGCATGAGCCCCTTTGCATTCTAGGCTCCAGGCTTCTCTAACAAAACATTTTGGTGGTCTAGTGTTATAAATAATACAATGCAACAGGGGCTTAGTCTGTGGTGGGGAGGGGGTGGTGAACACGCCGAGTGCAAGACATGCAGCTGCTTGATACAAACCACAAGCACAAAGTCACTTAGCCAGGAACTGATCCCTGGCCCATTCACCAAATTCTAAATGTACTAATAATGTAAAATTAATTCGAATCCCCAAATGTTGAACTATAATTGCTTAAATAAATGTATAGAGTTGGAGCATCCCCATGTCCCTAGCAACAAGATCGACTATAAATTAGGGTTTAGATCTATAAAATCAACAGCTTTGACTGGTTAGCTATCAAGAACACACCTTTCCTTAGGAAATAAATGGCAGACAAAGGGAAGAGCTGATTAAAACTGTGGCTTTCTATTTGGTAATGTGGATTGTGATTGGAACTGGTCTGTCCAGAGGGACCATGACAGGTGAGGAGAGACTGACGGATGGGGATTGTTACTAAACGAGTTGGCTACAGGTGAACAAACAAGCCAGCGGTTAATGGTAAACAGCCAGAGATCAGTCAGTCCCTGCAACCTCTGGGGCAAGGACAAGAAACAATTGGTCTAATTTGCAGCAAAGAAAATTTAGGGTGGATGCTAGGGAAGACTCGCTCAGTGGAAAGGCAGTGGAAAGCTGGAGTGGGCAACTCTTTCCTGCCTATGCAGGGGGTCGGACTCGATGATCTATTGAGGTCCCTTCCGACCCTAACATCTATGAATCTACAAGGGAGGCTGTAGCATCGGTCAGCAGAGGTCATCGAGAGCAGGTTGGACAGACACTTGATAGGGAAGGTCCAGAATCATGAAAAGGATGCCTGGCCTAGTGGTTAGACAATGAGACTGGCACTCAGGCACTGCCCTGGCGCTGGCCTTATTAACCCCACCTCCACTTTGCTCCTTAGCTCCCCTGTAATGTAGGGCTAACACAAAACTAGCCGATATTTGAGCCAGAACAGCTCCAGCGAAACCTGCCCCAGCGTCCCATGAGAATCAAATCGACTTGTACTGGTGTACTGGGGCTCATTTTTGTTGGAGAGCGTTTGTCCTGGACAGCTGCACCCTGGGCACCTGCCTCCCGAAGAGAAGAAATGCAAAGAATGCAGCACACGTTGGGCCGATCCTGCAAGGGGTGCCGGACGGCCCTCCAGGAGCCCACCAGCTGGCGGAAAGGAGCAGGATGGCCCAAGCAAACAGAGAGCCCAGCCCTGGAGGGCTGTGCAGGCCTGGTGCTCAGGGTTGCTGCGACCAAGCACACCCCGGGCAGGGATTGGCCCCAGCTGCTAACACCTCCAGCATGAGCACTTGTGAAATGCTTTCTGCTGCTGGATGATTAAGCCTTTTCCTTGTAGATGGGGCAATGGGGCAACACAGCTAGAGAGAGGGGAAAGGGAAGGGTCTTGCCCAGCCCCAGGAACAGCAAAGGAGCTGAGGATGCTCCCTTTGCAGCTCTCCGCTCCCCGCTAGCAGACACCCAGTGCTGAACCCAGCACTCAGAGTGCCCTTGAGTCCAGCATTCAGCTCTGGGAGCCCTTCCATGCCTTTTTTTTTTTCTTTTTCATTTGAAAATGTTCTGTTCCAGGTCAAATTAGCCAGATCAAATCCAAATTTGACAGGGATGCACCCTCCATTACACAGTGCCATTTTAATAGCATTTTCAGCTCAGGTATCAAACCAGTGCAGCGACTACACTTGATGTTAGCCCACAAGAGGATGGGCCCTCCCTTGCCCATGACTGAGTCTCTGGCTCAGGAGTCAAGAGGAACCCAAGCGCTGAACCAAGGGTTAAGCCCCCATCACTGATGGCCATAGACAGCACCATGTGCTTTCACTGCTCTGGCTCCACAGCCCCCTCCCCACCACCTCTTTGCTTCCTTTGCCAGCTGCTACCCCCAAAGCAGGGCCTTGGAGGGACAGAAAGGAAACCTGAATGCCAATCCCTGAATGCTGCCCTCACCTAGGAGGTGCACTACCATCTCAAACGGCCCCTGCACCTCTGTTGCCTTCCTACACAGATCCCAAAGGTAGGACAAACTGCCCCTGCCTGCAGTATGCTCGAGAGAGCTGGAGCAGATATCACCCTGGAGCCTGCAGAGTCCTTCAGGGCACAGAGCAGGCCCTACATCTTGCAGTCCTTCAGGAACCAAACCCACTGCATGCTCAACTTAACCAGGTCTCACCCAGAGCCCTGATGCAGAAAGACCAGGAGCTGTCTCTTGAGCCACAGCCTAACGCATCCACAGCTGGTTTGTTCACAGTTCTGGTGCCTACACCGGCTTGCAGCTGGCAAGAGCTCTGCTCCCTGCCTGGCACTGCCTCCCCTGCCTGGCCACTGAGCAGATGGGAAACAGGGAACTCCCCAGGACATCACCCCCTCCCCCCCCCCCCCCACCACCACTACAGGAAGCGGGCTTGGCACGCTGTGCCCGGGCACCGCTCTGAGGACAACTGCCAGCACCAGCCTGCAGTAGCAGTCAGGGTCCCCTCCCCTCGCAGCCTCAGCGCTCCAGCTGGGTGCAGAAGCTGACCCCGGGCACATGCCTGGAGGCCAGGAGGTGCACCAAGCTCCCCTTGACAAGCCAGGCGGGAGCATTTGGGCTGAGAGGAGCTCACGTGCAGGGAGCAAGCAGGCCACAGCCCTGAGAAAAACTTGCCCTGCCTGGAGCCAGCGTGCAGCTCCGTGGTGCCACCAGCTCCTGCCAGCTGCTTCCCCTGCACAGGCTACCAGCCTTGATCCAGCTGCTCAGCAGCCCACCTGCCCTGCACCCCTTGATCCAGCTGCTCGGCACCCTCCTGCCTCCCCTCCACCCCGAGCTGCCTCGGGCTGGGTGCAAGCGCCACGGCCGGTTCCACTTCCTGGCTCAGGAAGGGTCCGAGTGGCTGGGGGAGGAGAGGGCTCAAAACAAGCGGCTCCCACACACCTGCAATTGTGCTCCCTGGATGGTGTGACGCAGGGCAGGGCCCTTCTCTACCAGCCGGCTCCCAGTACCAGCTCAGCCAGACAACCACATCCCCGCAGCCCCAAAGGCTCCTATTCACCTCCTCGCAACCGTCCTGCCCCAGGCAGCTGGCTGAACTCTCTCCTGCCTAGGGAGGTAGCTCCTGCACCCACCCCAGGAGCAGCCGCTCAAACCAGGCCTGTCTACGTCGACATCGCCCCATGAACAGCTTCCCCAGATGAAAGCAGGACACGGCTAGGACAGGGCCGTGACCTCTGAGCCAGCTGGGAGAGGGGTCACGTCTCGTCCTCCTGGCCCTGGCTGTTCCCAGGCACCGTGCCCCTTCCCCAACAGTGGCTCCACCAGCCTCACAACCCCACCCTGGAGAGCACACACAGCTCTGCCTGTCCAGAGGGAAGCGTGCACCACAAAAACCCTTCGGTGCCCCTGCCTGCCCAGTACCTGCTTCGCCTGCCATCAGGAGCAGCAGCAGAGCAGCCACGAGCCACGACTTCATCCTGGTTCACTGGGCCCCTCCAAGCAAGCTGCCGCGTGTCTGAGCGCTCCCACGTCTGGGGCTGAGGCAGTGAGAGCAGTGACCACCACTGCGCTAGGTCCGGGCTGCACCGCGTTTGATGGGCTGGGCGTGCGATTGACTCAGCAGGACGCTCACGACCACAGAGCAAGCGCCTTCCTGCGCTCACCACTCGTTCCCTAGCCGTGCGCTCCACTACGCCAAGCTGCTTCCTCTTGGGGAGGCCCTGGCTGCAGCAGGGAAGTAGCCAGCAGCTTGGCGATGCACGTCCCTCCCAGGAAGGGGCAGCCTAGACAGATGCCAGGCCATTGCTACAGTACCAGAGCGACATGGCTATGACTTGGGCTTCCCCATAGTCCTTGCTCATGAGTTCCTGGCCTCCAGGGCACCACAGCACCATCCAGACCCCAGTCAAGGCTCCTTCCTTGCGCATGGGCCCAGTTGGCTACCATGGCCTTGGTGATACTGCTACTGGCTGGCAAGAGCCTGCTTTGGTTCAGTCATGGTGTCACCAGCCACCAGACCACGTGGCACTGACCACCAGGCTGCCTTGCCCCAGCCCAGGGGTCTTGCTGTTGGCGAGGCTGCTCCCAGAGCCAGGTGCCAAGGTCCCCCCAGCAAGCTGAGCCCAGACACCGCAGGCCTGCAATTGGGTTGCAATGCAGCCAGGCAACTCAGGGAGGCTGGCTCGGGCCTCAGACGTGGGACCCTACAGGACTTTCAGGGAGAAGCTGGTTTGTTTGGGGTTTTTTTAAGTTTTTACAAGTCTCACACAGGGCTGTAGGAAGTAGATGGGCGCAGGCATCCCCTGCTCCCCCAGCCTTCAAACACATGGCTTTACAGCCCTTCCCTGAAGCGCCCTCGCCGCAGCACCCAGCCAAGCACTGGCTCCATGACAGCCAGAATCAGGCACACAAAGCCCACTCTGACCTGCTGGCATGCAATGCCCGGGACCCGTCTCAGCCCTAGGGCCTGTCCAGCCAGCCCCAGCCTCACAGGAAAGCAACTCCCTCCCAGCAGAAGGGCTCATACACGTGGTTGCAGAGCAACGCCATGCAGGACACCGTGCACCCCACAGCCCTGAGATGGCCCCCAGCAGCCAGGCTGGGCCACGGACCCTGGCACCAGGAGTCCTAGCCCTGCATGCTAGCACAGGAGATGCTAAGGATACAGCAAGTGTCACAGACAGCAACCCGGCAGAGCCGGAGAGGGTCAGCTCGAGAACAGAGCTGCCCAAGGGCACCCGAGAGGATGACACTGCCATGGCTGAGGAGGCCAGGGGCACAGAGTCCCGTATTGCAGAAGGCATTAGCTCAGACCTGCTGCTGAATCAAAGGTCCCCAGGGCAGCAGTTTAGCTCGTCTGCAGGGCCTCCTTCGCCAGCCCTCCAGCCCCAGGGTGCCTGAACTGCAAACCCTGCACCAGAGGGGACCGAGGCAGCCTCACAACCAGTTGCTTCACACACCAAACCAGGTGCACCCAGGGGGAAATCCCACCACAGCACATGCCCACTCCTGGCCTGCAGTACTGATGGAGGTGCTGGTGTGGCATAAGTTGCAAAACATTCCCCAGGTACTAACGCCCTGCCCTGCAGGTCTGCTCATGACAGGGCCCCTTCCACTGGGACGTGTTGGGCAGTGGCACCCGCCGCTGTCTGCCCCAGTGCCTCAGCCTGGACTGCACCGTCAGCCCCGGCCAGAGCCAGGAGGTGCTGGTACCGTGCCAGGGGCTCCTCTTCAGGTTTCCCAGGCCCTGGCTGGCACCCCCCACCTCGTTTCCTCTGGCTGGGATACACAAGTACCGCCCTATCCCACACATCTCCCACGACGTGCAGAGGAAATTGCTGCCATAAGAATGAAATCACAGCGTGGCAGAAGGGGAAGGATGCACAGCCCTGAGTCAGCAGCAGCACTGCCAGTTCCTGGAAACAGCCTAATGCCCATGGGGGCACCAGTCCGAGGCCTTGCTGCCCCTTTGTGGTGAGAGGGGGGCACCCAGGAGAACCCAGCAGGGTTGTAGTGGTCAGGCCTGGGGACTCCTGTGGGACGTGGGGCCAAGGGGCGCTTGGAAGGATATGCTGATCCTTTTACCAAAGGCTACTCTTCACGGCAGCTGAGAGTCCCTCAGGGCAGAGGGTGGCCATAGCCACAGCACCATCGCCATCCTGTGCAGCTGCAGATTTCCCAGCTGCTCACGACTCAAATGTGGGCTCTCAGCCACAACAGGACAGGGCCTTCCTGGCACAGCCGGCAGCTCCTGGAACAAGCGGTGCCAGCACTCACAGCAGCACTGTGGCTGGGCGCCTGCTTCCGCCTGGAGCATGCAGCCTGCACCCAGAGCAGCAGCTCAGATGCTGCAAGTGTTGGCATTCAGAGCAGTCACAGGCCAGTGCAGGGAACAGCAGTGTCCTGGGAGGCACACAGCCTGCAGTGTCTCTTCCTACAGACCAGGATCTGCATTTTGCCTGCCCTCACCCCATCCTCCAGCTCAGCCTCCACACCTAGCTCAGCATCACTGGGGTTGTAAGCCTTGGGGGAGACCAGTCTGCTCCCAGCTCTGTGACCCTGCATTTCAAATAAGCCCTGGCGCCAAACAAGCCTCATTACTGGGAACAAGGACCATGCCCCACCATTACTTACTGCCCCACAGTCATCATGCGTTTTCCTCTAGGTCACTGATGAAGGTATCGAAAGGCATCAGGCCAAGAACAGGGCCCGCTGAAGCCCGATTGCCCAGAGGCTTCCTAGACTCCGCAGCATTCACAGCCAAATCCCATTCCACAGCATGAAGTCCCAGGACATCAGGTCACCAGTCACCTGCACTGTGATCACAGGAGCATGATCTCTTCTGCCTCAGCCTCTGCATGGTGATGGGGTAGGAGGACATGATCAGCCCAGCCAGGCTGCTGTGAGCAGCACTGGGAAGCATGAAAGAGCTCCTCCTGGAGCTGGTACTCCGACCTCTAGGACATTTGTGTTCTCATACCCAGCTGCCCTGACCCACTGCCTTCAGGGCCCCTGGTTTTACCCATCTCCTACCTCTGGTGACAGGAAGAGCGCTCTGGGGGTACTGGGGCTGGTCCTGGGCCCAGAGAGAGAAATGGGGGCAGAAGAGTGTGGCAAATTTCAAACAAGAAAACAAGCAGAAAACAAACCCAAACCATGGAGTCCTGGGAGTGGGCCAGGGACACTCCCCCAGAGTGTGCAGGGCAGAGGCTGGACAGCCTGAGTCCTCCTACCCCAGCAGCAGGGCCACGTAAGAAATCCTTATTTGCCTTACCCAAAAGCCTCCCCAGTGGAGCAAAGTACACAGGTTCTCTTCTGGGCAGTCACCACAAACGCCAAGGTTCAGCTCTTGAGCCTGGAGGGGAGAGCAGTCACACAAAGGTACGGAGGGCCTGGGCAGGGAAGTACCAGGAGCAGAGCCAGCTGCAGGCAGGAAACCTCGGGGACAGCCTTGCTGGGAGTGGTACTGCAGGGCCTGGCCTGGCTTAAAGCTGCAGCCAGATGTGAAGGGGGAAGGGAGATGAGAGGGAAGTGGCGAGCAGGGAAGATTATTTCTTCCAGTTTCAATTCAAGCAGCTCAAGGGCAGCAGGTGGAGATGGGAGCTTTATTAGCGCAGCTCTCCACACACACACACACACACGGCAGCACACACTATAACAGGACACCCTGAGGAGCGCAGCACGTGCAGCAGGCACAGGGCACTGTCCAGATCCAGCGACTTCCTGCAGCTCATCTGTCCACTTCCCCAAAGACAATGTCCTGCGTGCCTGCCAACAGGGAAAAGGGTATCATGGGCAGTGCGCTCTGGAGTCAGCATGCCGGCCTGCAGGGAGGACGGCCCCTCGAGCCTCAGGAAAGCTTCCCTTGGCCTGCCACTCTGTCCCACCCCGACTGGCAGTTTCAGTCTGATTGCCCTTCGCTGTACCTCAGCATCCACCCCACACCCCTCACCAACCCCAGGAGCCCCATCAGGCTCAGCCTGATGGGAAGTGGAATGGAACATACCGATGATAGCCACCACATCTGCCAGCATGTGACCCTGCGACATCTTATCCAGGGCAGCCTAGGAGAGAGAAGACTGTGAGCGACCAGATGCCAGGCTGCAGCTGGTCTGCCCCTGACTGCCTCCTCACCCCTGCCCAGAGCTGCAGTCATGGCACCAGCACTGCTAGCAGGACCCCCGAGGATGGTCTGCTTCCAAAGCAGGCAGAAGCCCAGAGCCTGCTGGCCACCCCCTTCCCACAGACGTAGCAGGTTTACATTGGGTGCCCCAGGGCCAGATGCAATGCCTGAAGCAAGGGTTCTGCTGGACAGGGTGAGCTGGCCTCAGCTCCCAGCTGCAGAGCCACCATCCTGCAGGAGGGGTGTCCAGGGAGCCCTGTGCAAGATGGGAAGGGCTCTCCCAGGCAGTCATCTGTGCTGGGAACAGAGGGGTTCACAGCACCCAGCAGAGCCACCCCCAATATGGAGCGGTGGGAGCAACACAGCTGCTCCGGCCAGGACCATGACCAGCTGCTTTTCTCACTTCAGCCACAGGGCACTTTAGTGCCAGATGGAACCAGCAGGGACTTACAAGGACAGCACCCATGACTGCCCCTCCACCCCCACCCCATACACATGCTGCTCCCCAAGGCAAAGCATCCCCAGCAACATTGGGCAACACAGCCAGCACTAGCCCCAGGGGGAGGGCACTCTCTGTCAAGGTACCCCAGTCACTTTCAGAAGTCCCTGCAAGTACCAGCCCAGCCTGCTTATAGCCACACTAGCAAAGCAGCAAGCACAGTGCTGAGGAAAGGTGCAAAGCAGGCTGTGTGTGTGCAGGCCCTGCAAAGATAGGAGCGCCTACTAACTTCAGAGGCAAAGCATACTACTTGAGCAGCCCCAAGGCAATCAGCAGGGACTCCCAGCTGCTGGGCCAAGTCTCAGCAGAACCATCTGCAATGAGGGCTTTCATGCTAAGGCCATGGGTACAAGGTATGAGGCTCATGTGTCCTGTACCCTAGGCCAGGCTGGGCTCTGCAATGGCCCTCTGCACATGGGTTCTGAGGGTTGCAGCCTAGTGGTCAAGAAAGCCCCTCCCCTGCAGCCTGCTCCCTCCTCCCCGCATCATGCTGCTCAGCACTGGTGATGCTGGGGAGATCGTGCTCAGCATAGCATGGGCCTCAAGCTCAGGCAAGAAGGAAGCAGTGGGTGGCGAGCACAGCACAAGGATATCACTTTCCGTGCGGCAGGGGAAAAGCCCTGCTCTCTAGCCAGGCACACTTGAGCAAGCAGCACCTGGGCTCCAATGTGCAACATACACAGGAAGGGCACGGGGCAGATGTGCTCCAGAAACCCTCTGTGCAGTGCAGCAGGGTCACAGCTGTCCTGGCCCTTCTCCCATGTCCCCCCCAAAACCTCCAGCTATCAACAATGAGAGCTGCACCCTGAGGAGGTGCTGCAGGGCTTTGACTTGACACTGCAGTGATCACCAGCTGTGGCAACCAGGGCCCTGGGTGCAGCAAAGGAAGGGAACATGCTGCTTCCCACATGTCCTCTGCTCTGCTGCTTGACCCAAAAGAGAGTGCTGCAAGACCTGGCCATGACTGCTGGGACACACTCCCATTCTGCAGTGCAAGCTGCCCAGGGCTGCATACCTGGGATCAGAAATTCATTGCCCAGGGCAGGACACAGCAGGGCCCTCTACAAGCACCTCTACAAGTGCAGAAGTGACAAAGCCCATAGCAGAGACTGAACACAGCACATGCCAGCCTCCTCCTTGACAGAGGACAGGTCCCAGCACGCACTACTCTGAGGCAGAGGTGGGGAAGCACAAGGGGGGCCAGCATCTGCAGGCTATTTCACCCATCACATCAGTGCCACAAAAAGGCCAGAAGCTCCAGGACAGCAGCATTCCTGATGCAGCCCCAAGGCCATGTCAGCTGCAGCTGCCCCCATTCTTCCCTTTTCTAAGTGACATGCCTTGGGAATAACTCTGGGTCCAAAACTCAGGGCCCTTATCCTGACCCTGCCCATACCCCGGCTTCATATGGGGTCTCCTACCAAGTGGGCGAATCCAGGTGCCTTGATCTTACAGCGGTACGGCCGGCTGCTGCCATCCGAAACTAGGTACACGCCAAACTCACCCTGCAGGGATAGTGAAGACAGGGAAGTCAGTATATACACAGAGACCTCCCCTCCACCTCCTCAAGCCCCCCCCCTCCTCCTGCTACCAAGCCTACCCAGAGCCCTATGTCTGGCTGCAGTGCAGGTTCCCAGGGAGGCAGAGGCAGCTCAGAGGTTTTGGAGGCATGTTCCAACCCCACAGACCTGGTCACATATACAAATGTAAAGAGCCACCTGCTGTGATGAGAGAACAGGGCCCATACACAATCTCTGAGCAACTAAGACAGGCCCTAGAGTTGGGCCCTTCCTGAAACCTGGGCCCAGCTAGGGCCCTCAGACACATGCTTGGTGTCTGCCTCTGTCAGCGCTGTTCACAAACCCAAGGCACAGCAGTGCTGCCTGGGACAGCTGCAGCCACTGGGCACTGCCAATGGGATTGGCAGCCAGGGACAGGCTCCACTAGGGCCCACACACACAGTTCATCCCCACACCTTGCAGGGGGGTCCATCACTCCTGCTGGCTGGGGATGCACAGACAGAGGCCCAGACACCCCAGGGTACATAAAAGCAGAAGAAATGGAAGGCAAGGAAGCATTCAACTCAGTAGGAGAGGGAGCTGGTACCTTAGGGGCCTCAATGGCTGTGTAGGTGGCTCCGGGGGGCACCTGGTAACCCTCTGTGTACAGCTTGAAGTGATGAATCAGTGACTCCATGGAGGTCTACACAAAAGGGAAGCCAGACTGTAACAAACAAGCTGCCTGGAAACCCTGGCTCCAGCCCCAGCAGCGTTTGCACGGAGTTCCACGGGCAGAGTGCATGTCAAGAAGGGCCTGTCCCACACTTCCAGCTCTACAAGCACCAGCACAGAACCATTCACCCGGCAGAGGAAGGTAGACACTTCTGGGGTGGAGTGGCAGATCCCATGACTGCCACCACATGTGGCGGGCCAGTAGGGGGAGCTCCTGCATTGAGCCTCCCACCTCACCATGCCTGTCCACCTTCTGGACTCCACACGTCTCTCCAGGGGCGCCTAAGCCCTGGCAGACCCCCTTTCGAGCCCCACCAGAGTCCAGGGATAACGTGTGCTGCCACCACTCCGAGAAGGGACTGTCTGGGTCCTGTGTCCTCGGGGAAACACAGGCCTAATAGTCCTACAGGTACTCGACCCAATACAAGAACTTGTGGCACTTCCCCAAGTTGGGGGGCAAAAAGGATAGTCTCCCTTAGTCCACTGACCCAAGGGGTCTCCTAGGCATAATTAAACCCACCCCTCAATAAATCTCCTACACCAGTCACAAAAGAGAAATTTATTGCTCCCGACAGAATAAGGTAGAACAGGGAAAGTGGTAGAGCACTATCAAGGGATTACCATTGAGCAAAACAGTCTGGCTGAGGTAGCTGTTTGATATGTAAATGCATCACTGTGAGCTGACTAGCTCTCTAGAGACACCACTTACAAGTATCATTCAGAAGATGGTACAGATCTGGCTCAGCGATTTCCAGAGAGAGCGCGTTTCAGATGGATCAGACTCTCTCCCTGTGTCCTGATGCTTGTGCCATGCTGGAAAAAATGGCTTCTCCTCCTCCGCCTTGGACCAGGCCCTTATATAGCCTTTCTGACCTGAGCAGCCCAGTCCAATAGAAGCCAGCAGTGTTGGCAACTAGCCAACCAATTTAAAAAGCATCACTGGTTACCTGGGCAGATGAGCAGGGGCTTTTCCCTCCCCCACTCAGGTGACCAGAGGGACCACCCCCTAAGCACCAGGCTTTTGTCACATAGGCAGGGAGGAAAATCCCCCCTCCCTTAGGAATTCGACCCCAGTGTCCCAAGCTGACAGGGAGAGATTTCTGGAGAGAGACACAGACAGTGGCATTTCTGCCACAGAAGCAGAGCGACATGGGCACAGCCCCCTGGGCCAGGAGACACAGCATAGGACTGGAGTCAGGACTCCTGGGCTCCGCACTGGTTCTGCCATGCCTCACACTGGAACAACCACCAGTGTATTCTGCTTCCTTGCTTCAGTTTCCCCTTCTCTAGCACGGCGGTGGTCACAACAGCCCAGCTGTCAGGCGCTGGGACACAGAAGAATGCTGCAGTACGTTGCTGCTAAAGGTCCTGGACAGGAAGCTGGTTTAACAGCTACCCCAGGAACTCTGAAGCGAGTCTAAGCAGTTTCCTCTCAAGGTGGGAGGCTTGTAACCCAGCAGCACCATGCAGCAGGCCTCAGTCCCAGGAGGGGCCTCTACCACAGGCAGAGTGGCTCCTTGCATCCCTTTCACCCTACTGCTCCCCTTCCAGGAGGAGGGCCCTCCTTGAGCTGCTCAACAGGACTCTTCTCCAGTACCCAAGTACTCTACATCTGTACTTGCACCCTGGGCTCGGAGCACTGTGCTCTGAACTGCCTGCCCCTGCAAGACTAGCTGCATCACATTTTGCAGGAGTGGAAACAAGCTCACATCAGAGCTAGGAGCAGAGCCCAGGAGCCTGGTGCTCCAAATCATGCCCTCTCCTCAGCAGGGCCCCAACTCACAGCCCCTGCTCCCACCACAAATGAAGCTCCCTCCCAACTGTCAGTAAGATGCATATAGGAGGTGCTTGCTGCCATCACTGAGCGCTCCCAGCCACCAGGCACTTGGGAAAGGAATCACCTTCATCTCTGCTCGCTTGGGAGGAGAGATCTTGGCATCATCCACTTTGATCTCCCCCTCCGGCATCTTGTTGAGACATTGAAGGATGATCCGCAAGGACTGGCGCATCTCCTCCAACCGGCACAGGTACCTGGCAAAGGGACAGGACATAGCATCAAGACTGACCACCAGGCCAACAGCTGGGAAGAGGCCATGCAGCACCCAGCCAGGGTTACGTACCCACCTGTCCTCCAGCCTGGAAACACAGGTGCCCTGCAGAGCAAAGTAGCCTCTCCCCAAGCTACCCGCAACCTATCTAGCTGGCACACAAAACTACTCTCACCCCACCCGAGCCAAGAGGGCAACAGGGACATCATAGGGCCTGTAGAGCTGGAAGAAACAACCCCAAGAAAGGTCCCTGCACTGCACCATGACCTGTGGCCAGCAACACAAGACCCATAAACTTGTCCTGGGCCCAGCCTGCCCAGGACAGACACAGCCTCATGCACAGGGTCTGTTTGGAATCCCACCTATCGTAGCAGTCGCCGAATGTCCCGATTGGGACGTCAAACTCCACCTGGTCATACACGTCGTAGGGCTGTGTTTTGCGCAGATCCCACTTGATCCCCGAGCCCCGAAGCATCACGCCACTGATGGAGAGAATGGGAGAAAAGGTTAGGTCAGGTCTGGCTAACATGGATTGGCCCATCTCCCACATCAACCCAAGCCCAGCCCCAGGAAGCAGCCTGTACAAAGAACCCCCAAGGAGGGATTGCTTGCTAGTGGGGCTCATGGCCAAATCTGGGGCCCAGGGACACTTAGCATGATGCTGATGGGCACCTTGGCAACACCTAGGGAGCCAACCCTAAGGGGCAACTATCATCCCTACTGCTGAGGCAGACAGCAAAGGAGAAGAGTGGCTGATCTAGGAGGGAGCTTGGGAGTCTCTGCATCCTGCCCCAGGCACTGGGGGTGCTCAAGCTCCAGCTGGCAAGGAGCCCATCAGCACCCAGCCTGGCAGCATGCTCTCTCGTTACAGGCATGGCCGTGCTGCCCACTACAGGTAGGGGGAGAAGGGGCATCACAGACTGAGGCCAGGGCTCTGCTGGGTGCGATATTCCACCATGGGACCCAACACTACTGCCCAGGCAGGTGTTCTGGCTGAACTAGCCTCCAAGACCAGCTGCTCTGGCCTTAGGAGCAGACGGGTACAGCAGAGAGCTGGGGTGGAACAACCCAGCCTCCACAGCCCAGGGAGGCGCTTCTGTTTTCATGGTGACTTTGATACCACTGACAACCCACGTTCCCACACAGACTGGCTTGTAAGAGCAAGGACAGGGGTAAAGGCCTCATTGACTGGGATGTACCCGCATCCTCCACCTCAAGGCCTGGAGGGGGGGGTCTGTCTGCCTCAAGGTTACTGCAGACAGCTAGCCAAGGTTTCTTACCTAAAGCCACAGTTGAGAGCATCCTCTGCACTTATGACACCAATGTTGACTGTGCGATTCTTCCAGATCCGGTTGTTGGTGAGCAACTACAGGGCAAAGATCCACCACCAAGGGTTAGGTGGAGCGCTGCCTAGTCACGTCCACACATAACCATAGCAGCCCATCTTCCACCCACGTTTGCCATCGTGCAGCGAACACAGTGCAGGCATTAAATGGCAGTTGGCCACTTTGCTGTTTTTCCCCTGGATGATGGTGTAGAATCCCATGTCCAGCATCAGGAAGCAGCAGATGGGGGAAGATCATGGTTTAACCTGGGCTAGGACACCTGCCCTGACCCCCACTTAAGTCCAAGGAGGAGCTGTGAGGTCCTGCAGCCACGAGTCAGAGCTGTTAGATGACAGGGTGGCCCCTGCAGAGCCAGGCCAGCTGCCTCCCTACACAGTAGGGCTCTGTCATCAGCTGGCCCAGCCCACTAGACTTTAGCTCGAGGTCAAACACTGGGGCAGCAGCCCCTTGCCCCTCTGGTGGCCATGACAGTCGTTCACTAACAGAAACCCAAGGACTCTCATAACAGAACTGCATCCAAGAGCAGACTCAGGAACAAAAACCTACCCCAGGAGCTGTGGGAAACGACCCCCGCTGGCTACACCCAACATGGGAGGGGGGTTGGCCTTGACCCTCTCAAGCACTGAGGCATACTACCTCCTGGGGGCAATGGGGAGAGCACAGGACACAGAGTTCCCACATCTGCAGTGCTAGGCTGGAACTCCCTCCCCAGACACAGCAGGGGTGGCCCATGCACTGAAAGATCCCACCCCAAGAACAAGGATGAGGCACACTGGGACCCTTACCTCTTCCACCTCATCAATCCGTAAGGAGAAGTTCTGTATAAACTCATAAATGTCGTCCATTAGCCCCAGGGGCATGTCCTGGAGAGAAGCAGGAGGTTAGTGCAGGGCAAAATCCAGCCTTACGCATGTTGTTTGTACACAGAAAGGGCAGGAGACATGGAGGAGAACGATTGGGAGCCTTCTGCACCCTGGATGTGGGGCACAGCTGGGCTGGAGGCGTCACAACAAAGAACTGTTCTGCACCTGCGCTGAACACGGACATGGACACTCTCACTCTCCCACCCTGGCTATATCAGCTAGACCCCCTCACTCAGTCAGAGGAGGGCCCACTCCAGAGCCTTCCAACTGGGAGAGAAAAGCTCAGCTGAGATGAGCCTTTGGTGCAAGGGCCCACTGTCAGCCCATCAAACAGCCCAGAGGGTACCATGGGACAGGCAGCTGGCAAGCCTGTGCCACAGAGGAAACAGCTCTGCCCTGACCCAGACAGGGAGGGCAACAGCACTTGTGCACAAAGGGGGCTCTGCTCAGAGCTGGGGGTGCACAACACAGCAGTGGGGAAAGCCAGGACCATTACATCCACCCATCTTTGCTGCCTTTATCAAATCAGGAACCAACTCCCCTCAGCTCCACCCACACCAGCTCCTGAAGCCACTGTCAGCAGCTGGCCAGTGGCCTGGTCCCTTTGCTATCACAGAGACAAAGGGACTTGGGGCTGGATTGGGCCCAGAGTCCAAATGTCCAGCAACCCACTCCACAGTGCAGTAACCTGGCCTCCATGGGCTGGGCAGATGGCACAGGCAAGGAAGGGGCGAGCTGCGGATAGTGCAAGCCAACAGCCACGACCTGTACCTGGTGCACCCCTCCAGGCCGGACGTAGGCAGCATGCATTCGCGCCCCAGACACTCGCTCATAAAACTCAAACATCTGCGGGGGACAGAAATACATTAAATTTTTTACTCTGGCCCAGCCCAACTTCCCCTCACCCCATGCAGCACCCTGGCCCAGCCCAGTACCAAGAACCAGGGAAACTGGCACTTCACTAGAGCTGCAGAAGAGCCTGCCTCTTGGCTCCCTCAAACAGGAGCCACCCAGCCAGCATCAGAGCACACAGAACAGAAAGGCTTGAGGCAGTACACAACAACTCAGGCTCCAAGATCCCCTGCTATGTGCTGGCCCAGGCTCCTCCAGGGGCAGCTGGAAAACCAGGACATGCCAAAGGGTTACAGAGAAGGGATAAGGATCAATGGATCTGCACTCAAGGCTGAGCCAAGGCCCACAAGCCAGGGAAGCAGGGGTGTCAGACTGCCCACCTGGGACTAACGCTGCTTCAATCACATCCCCAGCATGCCAGTCAACAGTGCTCCTTTAGAGACAAGGAGGGGCCCCACCACACTGCACTGGCAGGACTCTCACATGGGTGATGGGGACAGTAGGGAGGGCAACCTGGGAACCAACAGTGAGCAAAGCCCAGTGGAGAACTGGGTTCTGGGGCATTCTCCCTTGCCCTGTGCTGCAGGTAGCCCAGCAATGGCTGAGACCCCAGACTCCTGGGAACACCTGATCCCAATGCTGGTTCACATGCAATGTTTCACCTCAGGCTGCTGGGACACGAGGAGCTCCTTGGGCTGATCTCCCAGGCAGATGCAGAGCCATGAATTCTCAGGAGCTTGCTACTGCCACCCAGCCTCTGCTGACTTGGGACTTCTTCCCAACTGGACTGGGGAGAATCCTCAACAGCACCATGCAGTTGCCTTACTCCAGCAGAACCCATTCAAAGACAAGTGCCACAGCCCCTTCTCAGGGAAGAACTGGGCTGGGGAAGGCCAACTGTTTGTGCCTGGCAGCCCTGCTGTTCCCCCCTAGGAGATCATGACAGGGCCACTGGCTGCCTGATGAACTCCAGGTATCAGCAACTTTGGCACTTACCTTCTCTCGCTCCTCAAACATCCAGAAGAAGGGGGTCATGGCCCCGATGTCCAGGGCATGGGTCGTGATGGCCATGATGTGGTTCAGAAGACGTGTGATCTCTGCAAAGAGAACTGAGGCAGAGACAGGCACCACATGGGAACCAGAATTGAGAGAGCATTGGCCACTTGACCCATCACCAGGGTGGTCAGTCCTTCTAGGAAGGACGCATGGCCCATGATTGCTCCCAAATACAGGCTCTTCGCATAACCTGAAGGAACAGGGGTCCCTCTAGGGAGGCAGAGATGGTGGCCATGGCTGCAGGTGGGGCCAGATTAACCCCTTAGTGGGCCCTAGGCAAACACACTCATGGATCCTAGGCCAGTTGAGACCCCCCGCTCTCCCCACCGTGGCACTGCCGCCCCTGTGGAGTGGGCTGGAAGTCGCAGTTAGGAGGCCAACAGAAAGGAAGGGAAGGGAAGCAGGCTCCCACAGAGGGAAGGACCAGGGGCCCCCAGCAACTCGGGGCCCCAGGCACATGCCTAGTTTGCCTATGCATTAATCCAGCCCTGGCTGCAGGGAGCTGCCCATGACACTTCTGGGCTCCAAAGGGCTGGGCACTGCTCAGGCTGCGTTCAATGTGGGAGCAAGCAGAGGATGGCAGGGCAAGGGCAGTTTGCCCAAGTTCACAGGAATGCAGAGAATCCCCTCTCCTACAGGGGATGAGTTGGGGCAGCTGGAGTCCCATGCATAGCTGTGACTAGCTCACTCCCAGCACATTATGGGAGTGATGGGCCCTGTCCAATGAAGACTGACGAGCCAGGCATCTCCCAGCAACCTGCTATGGGGGTGTCTGGAGATGGCCACCAGCAGGAACAGGCTGGCAGACAACACAGATCACGGGGCTGACAAGTCCTCTCAGAGACGGCATGACAGCTGCACAGAGCAGGAGCATGACTAAGGGCCTCAGATGCCATGTGCCATTCTACCTACTGAGAGGACTGGACAGATAAGGAGAGGAGCTGGTGACCAAGACAGGCCTCCATGTTAAAGCCCCTCAGCTATGCAGCCACCCAGCTCCAGGAAAGGACAAGGTCACTCACGTGGAGGGGGTGGGGGCAAATAGTTCTCACCTCGGATCCACTGAGCCCTCACAGGCGGACGGATGTTTAGCAGCTTCTCCACAGCCAGGGAATAGGCCTGCTCATTGCACATCATAGACACATAGTCCAGGCGGTCAAAATATGGCAATGCCTGCAGAACAGAGATGCCCTTAGGTGTACAGGACCAGCATCTGGAAACGCTGTAATGGGAAGGGCAACCCATGGGAACACAGCAGGACCCCAGGGCATGCCTCCTCCATCCCAACCCAGGAATCACGCATGCAACCAATGCTACCAGGCAGACAGATGCCACAGCTAGAGTCACTGCCCAGAAAAGGAAACCCATGCACACTGCTGCTGCCTGCAGGAGGGAGGGTGGCTATGTGACCTGGGACACGTGTTCCTGTCTCCCTGAAATAGAGTCAGAGGAGGGCCTTGGCCAGCAGCACAAAGGCTGTTCCAGGCAGCCCATATAACCAGTGTCACACATTTGCTGAGCAGACGAGAGGAGACAAGAGGATGCATTCCCACCTAGGTCTGCCGCAATGGCACACTCAGCCTTGGCACCTGACCTTAGCCAAGCAGCCCTTGCCCTTGGCAGCCACGTACCATGGGACCTGCATCCCTGAAGGCTACTACCACTCCCAGAAGGCTTTGCCTGCTATTCTACAGCCTTCTCTTGCGCACAGTGAAGCCAACTGCTGCAGCAGCCACAGGAGTGTAGGGCACAGAGCAAAGTGCAAGGCCAACAACAACCACCACCCAGGTCTCCCTGGGGCCTGCACTTCAGGGACACAGAGTGCAGGAAGGAAGGGGCCAGGCCCCTGGCAGCATCACTGTGTCCTGCAGGACCCAAGCCCATGTGGGGGTAGGCACACCCCGCATCGGCACCACCCACACACTCACACACCTGTGCACTCTTGACAGCACCCACACATTGTTGGGGATGTCACTGGGGCAGTCAGCCAGTGCCCCTACTACAGGGGTGGGCAAGATGCAGCCCGTGGGCCAGATGCAGCCCACCAGGCCATTCTATCCAGCTCACAGGGCTCCTAAAAAAATTTAGAAAATTAATATTTATCTGCCCCTGGCTGCCTGTCATGCGGCCCTTGATGGCATGCCAAAACTCAGTAACCAGCCCTCCACCCGAAATAATTGCCCACCCCTGCCCTACTACTACAGGGCTCCCTTGTCCTTGGGAGAAGATAAATTGGAAGGTGGAGCTCAGGCTTTAAGAGCACAAGTGGTTAAGAACCAGCAACAGCGCCACCACCTAGCCTAGGCTCAGAGGGGCAGTGCAGGTGCAGCACCACGAAGATAGCAGCCCAACAAGAGAGCAGGTAGGCCCCTTCACATGGCTGACATTGCCATGCCTGGAGAGTGTGCTCTCATATCCATCCTGCACATGCCCAGGAGCTGCCAGGCTGGAGGCTGCAGCAGAAGGCCACATCTCCTCACCTCTGGGCCCAGCAACTTATTCAGCTCTGCTCCCTGGGGTCTCCTGCCCCACACCTTCTGGAGATGACCCCCCTTCCCTTCAGAGCACACCCAACCCCAAGGTCTCTCTGCATGGCTGCAGGCTGCTCTAGGGATCTCAAAGCACTACTCTAGGGCTGAAAAGTGAATCCTGTCCCCAGTGTGAAGGGAGGTCCCCAATCAACATGTGATCTGCACAGTGCTCCCACAAGTACCAGCAGACTGCAGGGCAAGCATTACTCTCAAGCCCTTGGCCAGCTGCTCCTCACCCACATGGCCAAGCCAAGATGAGGTTGTACCAGACCTGAGCTGTGGAATCACCTGCTCCCAGTAGCTACCAGTGACCTGTCCCTGCTCTCCAAAACTGATGGCTCCCATGCAGAGTTGTCCCAAGCACGCAGCTTGGCTGCACCCACAGCCACGTCCCATGTGCGCACAATGGCCTGGCACCCTCAGCATTTCCTGGCTCAGCTCCACACTCTCCAGCAACGCTTCTTCTGTGGGAGTCAGGCTCAGCGTGAGCAGGGCAGCAAGGCTGAGGACTCTGTTTACCATCCTTAACACAGGTCAGTCAGTAACTGACCACTGTTTCCAGCGATCCTGGGGACAACTGATGGCTCTGAGCAGAGCAGACATGCACACACACCCCTTGCTCTGTCACCCAGGACGCTTGCTTCAAGGTCAGGACCTCAGCTTGCTTCAAGGTCAGGACCTCAGCTTGCTGCCTGCTCCCCACCCATCAGCAGCACCTTCATCCAGGGTCTCAGAGCCCTTATGAAGTCAGACTCCAGGGCCCTGGGGCAAAGGACAAGGGACGAGAGCCCCTTTCTACAGATAAGGAATCTGACAGACTCCACAGCGAGCAGACCAGAATGTGAATTCAGGAGCCCCTCCCAGACATCAGTGTACTCAGTATTTACTCAGTAGCACCTGCCCTAGGGTCTCCAAGCAGTGTAGAGGCTGTTCCAGGCAGCCCATATAACTGGTGTCTAGGCATCTTAGAGACACCACCCCCACCACGATGCTGTGCCTCAAGAGGACAGAGGGAGAGTTTTGGAGTGGGCCATGGGAGCCCACCCCAGCTGGTCAAAGCAAAGGACAGGCTGCCAGCAGCAACAGGCCAGGGTAACCACTCCCAGGGCTAAGCCCCATGACCCCATGTGGGGTTAGGCCAGGAAGACAAACAGGAGATGCCATCAAACTCACTGGGCAAGTCTGTGGAGGGGGACAGCAAGTATCTTACCACCCAGCACCAATTTGTCTACTTCCACTCTCTGGGGCAGAGCGCTGGTACCCTGCATACACAGCCGAGGTCCCAAAGGGACCAGGAGGAAAGCAAGCATCTGTGAGAAAGGAACACAGCTTTCTCAGGCCCAGTGCTCCAACACTGCTAGGACCTTAGCAGAAGTGCCATGTGCAGAGCAACTGCTGGCCTAGACCCTGCAAGACCTACACCCACCGAACCACAGGGAGCACAGTTCACACAGCAGAGCTGCCAGCAAATGGACACATTGTGGGATCTGCCAGGGCAGGCTGAGGTCTCCCAGCTCAAGGGGCCCCAGGACTTGAGTGCCATGTGCATGGGCCTGCTTGGCAAAGTACCTGGAGATAGGTCTTGTACTCAATGAGCTTCTCTGTCCCACGATGCAGCAGGCCAATGTGCGGGTCACACTTCTTCACTGTCTCCCCACTCAGCTCCATGACCAAGCGTAGGACTCCATGCGCCGCCGGGTGCTGTGGCCCAAAGTTAAGTGTCAGGTTGGCGACCTTCTTGCCAGCCGGAGGGTCCCTGTCTGCACAGGCCCAAGAAAACAAGCGGCAGCTCAATTACCACAAACACCACGGACAGGGAGTCAAAACCCCAGACTTACATCAACAGTGCCAGCACAGCCAAGGGCTGGATAGGATGAGATGTCAATGGGCAGGGAACAGCAGCTTCTAAGAGGCGCATCTCCCGGCACACATGCAGTGGCCTGTCTGGCTCCACTCTGCACCTCCCAACTGTGGAGCAAAAGCAGAGCACCTCCCACCAGGCTAATGAGGGCCCCACACAGCACAGCCCAGAAAGGCCTTGGGAATGGGCCGTCCTCACAGATCCCCATCTACTACAGGGAAACTCAGAGGCCTCCCTGGTTTGTTTGCTCTCTGGGCAACACTGGCTCAAGCACAACCCAAGCCCAGCAGGGAACACCGCACCACTGCAGGAGGCCAGGGGCTTGTCACAGCTCTGTTAGGCAGCAAAGGCTACAGTCAAGACAAAACGGCTCCCCACAGGGCACGTCCCTCAGCAGGTTCTCGCTTCCTGGGAAGGAGCATGAAGGATGACACCTCTTTTGGGTGGACGCTTCCCCTAGGTGATCTCTGCCCAATGCAGGGCTGGGGAATTATTCAGGGGCTGTGGGATGAAACACTAACCCTGTTCCCCTCCACACAACAGAACATACAGTATTAGTGCCCACAGAGGAGCCATGCTTTGCCCAGTGGGATGATCTGAACTGTGCTTTGCCCAGTGGGATGATGTGAGCACAGCTGCAGACAAGGATCCACACTGCTCTCACACAGCACTGCACCCGCCAAGCTGCAGTGCCTGGCACTCATGGGCTGTTCCCCTCCCACCCCATTGTGCTCATTAGCAGCAAGCACAAATCAAAGTTATTTGGCTCTGGCAAACACTTGCTGCCCACAAGGATGAGACCCTCCAGGAGCAACTGCAGAGAACCAGGTCAGGAGTGCTGCATGGTACACAGGGGGGCCCTGCAGTGCTTGATGAAGGAACACCACCACCAGGGCTCACAGCACCACATGCATCCTGCAGAGGTGGTAATGGACAGCAAACAGTCCAAAGTAGCCTCTACAGCAAGCACTGCGCATCAGGATGGCTGCTCCATCACCTTGCACATACCACAGACGTACACCCAGGCACAATCTGACAGGGTACAATTCCAGGACTGCCTGCAGGATGAGGCCACAGGACTTGGCTGCATTGATTCCTACTCAAACTATAGCAGAGCATTTAGGAAGCCACCGAGTCACCATTTTAACCATTTCCAGGGGCAGAGAGTCTATCATAGCTGTTGGGGCAGTTGCTCCAGTGGCTAGTTCCCCTCTTAAGCCTGCCTCATTCTAGCCTGAATGCATCTGGGTTCAGCTCAGCTGTTGGTCATTAAACTGTGGTCAGCACATGTCAGCTACCCATGCAGGCACTTGCAGGCTGTGAGCAAGTCACCCCTGAGCCTTCTCTCCCAAGCTGGACAGGTGCAACTCCTGGAGTCTCGATTTCAGACTGTTTGCCAAGTCCTGTGATCATTCCCATGGTCCTTCCCAGCACTTCTTCAAGACTTGCTGAATGATGGACACCAACTGGACAGTGTTGCAGCAGCAGTCACATCACCAGCAGACGGAGGAAGTAAACCCCCCTGCTCCTCTCAGGAATTGCCAGTTCGCACTGGGCGCTCACCCCCAGCTGATCACCCATCGCCACCCTTTCAGGAGAGAATACAGCTGTGTTCTCCGCACACATGCACCTCTGTCTACAGGCAACTGGTCCCACACAGCCTGTGCCCCAACAAGAGCGCAGAGAGCACACATCTGGGCACCAAGTGACAAGCCTTCAAGCATGGAGCAGCCCAGGCAATTCTGCCAGGCAGTTTCTGTTCAATATATCAGCATCTGGGAGGAGTGGGGGAAAGCTGGGGTCAGGAGGGGAACAGCTTCTCTCTTGCTCAGTTCAGGAGGTTTCCCAAGTCAGCGCTGAGGTCTGACAACACAGAGTGCCTGTCCTGGCAGCTGCGGGTGCTCAGTACAGTCTAACGCCATTTGCTGACTCCTTTGGCTGCCAACCCCACTATCTCCAAGGAAAGTGAAACCCCCCCTGATGCTCCATGCAGGGGAGTACAAGTATGGCCCAACTCCTACATCAAGCTGCCCTTGTCTTGGCTCAAACAGTCCAAGCCAAGCACAGGCTTCAGGCTGCAGCACGCTGTCTACTTAAGGGTTTCTGTTTGAAGGGGTGTGCAAGCCAAGGTACTCTGCTCAGCATCCTGTGGCCCCTTCCCCTCAGCACTGCCAGCAGCATGGGTTCCCAGGTCCAAACACTTCTTCTGCAGACACCTCCTCACTCTGCCTTCCCTTGCCAGGCTCACAGGTGCTCAGTTCCTCACACCGTCCCTGGCTGGATGCTAATGTAACAGAGGGATGTCCCGCACATTAACACGTTTAAAACTATGCTCATCCAGCCGAACCTCCTGCATAGAGGATGGGTCAGAGAGTTTCACCTTGAGCACTGAACCCAGACCTCGGGGTGGGGGGGGGGAAATCACTCCCTGCTTAGGGAAGTGACTCCAGTGGTTAATCCCCATCACTACTGAAGACAGGCACCTGGTTTCTAGCCTGACTCTGCCTGGCTTCAGCTTCCAACCTCCTCCTCAGGAAAGCCCTGGCAGGCCACGTTCCAATGCCTCTTAATATTTTCTTGAATAATACACGAAGACTGAGCTCCCAAATCCTTTCCAAATTTCCCCAAGGTTCTTTTGCAAGTGTTAATCCCAGAAGAGGGCACAGGATCTAAGACATGGCCTTGCAAAGGGCTCACATGGTAGAAACACCCCTTCCCCATTCCCACTTGACAGATACCTACTCAGGCATCCCATGATAGCATCTACCCCTCCTTACAGCATCGTGCTAGGCCAAGGAGGGTGGTCTAACCACAACCCCTAGATCCATGTTGATATCATCATATTCCTGAACACAGACTCTCCCTTCCGTAAGCGCAACCTAAGTTCCCCCACCTCGCTCCAGGGCCTGGCATTTAGCCAGTTAAAGCCAAGTGCATCGTAAGGTGCCCTCACTCAAACCATCTAGATCAGCAGTTCCCAAACTCTGACAGATTGCGCACCACCAATTTAAAACAATACAACTTTAAGTACCACCAGGAAATTTTTCAGTTTAACATCAAGTACCACCAGCAAATTTGTCATATAAAAGTAATTAGAATAAATCTGTTAACAGGTACCACTGACAGGTTGTCTGCGTACCACTGGTGGTACGTGTACCATAGACTGGGAACTGCAAATCTAGATCACTCGGTACATCTGACCCAGGCCCAGATTACCGCATGCACCAGGGAGGCAGGTTTGGGTTTCAAATCCTGCTTCACTTATATTGGCTGCTAGGAGGAATTTTAATGCAAGTTTCCTTTGTTGCAATCTATGACCATTTCTCCTTGCCCTGCCCATTATGGATACAGAAAATACCTGCTCACTGTCCTTATTATATGCAACTCTTTTTTTTTTTTTTTTGCATTTAAAGACTGTGATCAAATCCCCCCCAACGGTCTTCTCTTCCACAAATTAAGCAATCCCAGTTCTCCCAACTCTTCCTCATACATTAGGTCTCCCAGCCCGCTGAGCATTTGGCCGCTCTCCCCTGGACTTTCTCCAAATTAACTTCTTTGAAGCGTGATGCCCAAAAGGAGCAGACTAGAGATCAGCTCTCCAAGGCCAAGTCTGGCTGCCAGAAGCAGGTGCCATTACAGCCGCTGGCCGGGAAAGGGGGCAGGGGAGGCAGCTGGCATCGAGCTGAGATGAACACCGGAGCAAACACACCTCAGCTGCTCCGGGGAAGCACCGCTCCTCCCACGCCGGCCTGAGGACCGGCGCTTCCTCCTGAGTAAATACTCAGAGGTGTGCACCTACACCCCGACGTCTCCGCAGTAACATGACAGTCCTTTAGGCCAACCCCAGCTACAGACACGGCTCTCCACCGGAGCGGAGTGGAGCGGCGCGGCGCGGCGGACGCTGACCCGGCGGCTGCGCCGAACTCACCGTTCCAGGGCGGCGGCACCCAGTTCTCGGTCTCCTTGGAGGGGTACATGACGGCCCCGGCAAACTGCTGAGTCCACTCCACGTCCGGCTGCCACTGCTTGGCGCCTCTGGGCCCAGAGACGGGGCCAGGGGG